CGCGTTGTTGCTGTGCGCTGCCGGGCCTGTGCCTGGCCCCGCTGCCGGGGCCCTGCCGCTCGGCGTGAGCTGCCCCGGTCGCTGCCCTGAGGAGCAGGCGGCGCTTCTCATGGGGTTAGGCAATAAACCTTGGTGGCGTTTCCAGACCAGCCTAGCCCGCTGTGGGGATGAAGGAAGGCAGGTAGCAACCCTGACGCTTGGCAGAATGACAGATCCTCTCTGGTAACAGCACACAGCTAACTGACTCTCAGCACGGGGGGGGGGACGTTTTCTGCTCATTTTGAACCTGATGTGATAAGTGTTTGAGTAACACAATCTTTTCCTCAGGAGTTATTTGGCCGCTGGTGAGATTACAGACCCCGCTCTTCTCCCCTGCGTGGGAAGGGCTATTGGCCCATCAGATCAAATGTACAGGCTGTAATCTCAATCTGTTCCTCATGGTCCTGCTACAGCTGCAGGCTCAATACATCTTGTGAGCAGAATCTCATGGTAACGCGTTTCTTGGGCACATCACATTTCAGTTCAAAATGTTCTTGTAAATGTGCATCACGGAGCTTTGCTAAAAGGTTAAAATGTCTGTGTAGTATTGCCATGAGACTGATGATACCTTTTTTTCTCTCTCTTTCTTTTTTTTTTTTTTTTTTTTTAAAAAAAAAAGTACCTAAAACAGTGGAAATAGTTGAAAGCTTCCTACTAATAACAGGCTGTTTTGATGTGGTCCTTATTGCCTGGTTTACTGATATAGAGAATTACACTTATCACTGGCAATCTTACAAACTCTGATATACTAGCTGTGATATTATTTTTTGGTTTTTTTGTGTTTCATTCTGTTTGACCAGTGATAATTGGCTAGCCAAGCTTTTTTTTTTTCCTGTTTATAGTCAGTGTCCCATTTTGGTTTGGTTGTGTGAAGGTGGTGCTGGTGTGTTTTAGTTTGTAATCTTGCAGGGAAGTGTGCAGGGAGGGTCATAAATCTGTAGCAGTGTTTGGTGGCTTTTTTTTTTTGTGTGTGTGTGTCTGTCTCTTGTTTTACTTATAGAGCAATATCTTAACTTTTGTCCCTGCCCTGTTGAGCAAAAGTGAAAGTTAGATGCTGGATATAAGCTTCTGCAATCAGGTACCCTTTCTAACTTTTTGTAACCGTAGACTTCTCGTTCAGAGGAGACTAGGTGAAAAATCATAGTAACATTAAAAAATAAATCGGAAGCAATCCAAAGCATCCTCTTGTCCTAGTATCAGTAAAAGAATTTCATGATTAAAGTATAACAGCAACGCTTACTTATGCAGTCACCTTCATAAAAGGCAGTGTTAATTAAATCTGTTACTGCCCAACCACAGGCTTCAACTAGAACCTCTCCTCTGCTATCCCAGGTGTGGATGGAGAGCATGATACCGTACTATTATTCCCGCAGATGTTCATGGAAGACACTGAGAGAAAGGAGCAGGAACATACGCGATAGTCCTGTCTCGGCACAATACAAGTCTAGGTTTGAATTGTTGCCACCTTGAAAACTGGGCTGTATTTGAAATCTTAATAGTCCCACCAAAATGATGTAATTTCACTTTTAACTAGTCCGTGGCAACAGGTACAGGTTTACAGAATAGCTTCTGGAACGTTCTAGCACTCGAATGCAGCGTTCCGTTCAGGGTAACGCTCGGAGGCACTGCCCTGTTAATTGCAGGGTTTTGGTAGGCCTAATATTGCCGCACCAAGCCGTATGGGGGAAAATACAGCCCAGTTCTTGTTCATAAGTTTTAGTTCTGTGGGTTTTTCCCCCTTCCCCAGAACCCTTGATCTTGAAGATGGTGAGTAGCCAGCCTAAGTACGATCTAATACGGGAGGTTGGTCGTGGCAGTTATGGTGTGGTGTACGAAGCAGTCGTCAGGAAGACTTCTGCACGGGTCGCGGTGAAAAAGATTCGGTGCCATGCTCCAGAGAACGTGGAACTAGCTCTGCGTGAGTTCTGGGCACTTAGCAGTATCAAGAGCCAGCATCCCAACGTCATTCACCTGGAGGAGTGCATCTTGCAGAAAGATGGTATGGTGCAGAAGATGTCCCATGGCTCCAGTTCCTCCCTTTATTTACAGGTACATGAAGCTGAGGTAATGGGGTGGAAGTAATTAATATGGATGTGTAGCTGGGAGGGAAGGAGGTGGGTAGCTAAGATCTCTTTTTTTTTTTTTTTTGAGGTATGCCTAGTTAGGAGAGGGTATTGTTCACGTTGTTGACACCCAAAAATTATTATGTATCTTTAAAAGAGCTTATCTATTGAACAATCACCTGTATCTTGTGATTTCAAGCCATGCCAGTCTAAAAGACTCCAGGATTTTTTTTAATGCAAATCTGCTTTGATAATTTGAGGAAACACCACGGGTAAAGCACGAGGGAGGTGCAGGCTGTCGTATTACTTGGTAGAAGCCCTGCTGCAGGGTTAATGAGCAGACATGTACTGATGTCTTGGGACAGAGCTCTGAAGAATTTCTTAATCTCGGATGTCCTTGGAAGAGGAAGTAACCATCTTGATTTAGGAAGCCAACGCTTAAAATTCTTTCAGAAATAATAAGCAATTGGTAGCATGCCGGGAGCTGTTTTCTTTTTTGAATAAATAACCATTAGTTTCTTCAAAGAGAGGTAAAGGTATGATAAATAACGGAGTAAATATCACTCCCCCTATTTGGCTACTGAAAGCATCCTTTAAGTCACCTGTAAGTTTGAAGATGCATATTTTTGAAGAATAAGTAGCTCTGAAAAGACTTTGAAAGATAATCTGATTCATTCCCTTGTCAAGAAGCTGCCCCAGCTATAAATCATGCCCTGGCAGAAATTTGTGTCTCTGGTTTAAAAAGTCAGTAGCCTGCTCAATGTTTATTGTGTTATCCCTAGTCAGCTTTTATCATTTCAGTTTTTACTGTTGTCATTCTTGCATGTCTAATGTAGGACCTTTTGTTAGTGAACATTCATCTGACAACCCTTCACGGCTGTCCAGATCCCGTTGTGCCGAGTGCTGTATGAGCCTGAGAAAGAGGATTCTTGCCTTTGTAAACTCGCTGTAGCTTGGTAGTTGTTACTGACCTGCTTTCATGAAGGGATTAGGGTAAAATAATACTGGCCAGCTTGTGTGGGAGAAATGAGTGCCTTACCTTCCTGGTCGTTAGTGGATCTGTGAGAGATTGCATCAAACTTGTGGACAGCTGTACAGGGAGGAGCTTAAAAAAAAAAAACAACAAACAAACAAAAATAAAAAATAATACTGGCCAGCTTGTGTGGGAGAAATGAGTGCCTTACCTTCCTAGTGGATCTGTGAGAGATTGCATCAAACTTGTGGACAGCTGTACAGGGAGGAGCTTAAAAAAAAAACCAAACAAATCAGGGTGGAACTGCAAGATGAGGAAGGGTTTCCAGATCACCTTGCAGCATTGGGTTTTGATGGTAGCGCCTGTTAACAATGCAGCACGTAGATCTCGCCCGTGTCACGCGCAAGCACTACAAATTGTTTTCCTGCTCCAGAGAGCAGCGAAGAGCAAAGGGCAGAGCTGAGCTGACTGTGAAGAGACTGGGATCATTTTATAATAGCATGTGCTAAAATAGAGAAAATCGGATCTCCCTTGGCTTGCCCTCCCCTCTCCCCACCCCAGGTGATATTACGTTACAGAGCTGAATGGGTGCAGTGTGTGAGGAGGCTGGCCGGGGCCGGCGGGTATTAGTGTCTCCTGAAGGGCTTTGGGGCAGACGCTTAGCCGGTGTCACCTGAACTAAGTCAGTAAAGTGAGAGTCCTAAACTAGCCTGGTCCTGTGGTGCTTGCCGCTGTCACAGACGTGGTAGTGGATTTTGTGGTCTTTAACGCTCTGAACTGAGATGCAAGTACAGCTTCTGTAAAGCCGTGTGGAGGGAAGAGCTGTGTGTTGGTGCTCGCTTGGCAAAGGAGGCTCCCCGCTGTCCTGTGATACCTTAATCTCACTGTTGTTGACTGTAAACCCTAAATATGTAGTTTTCTAGTTCTAACATGGATTTACTGTTTTAAGTTGGTCCGTACTAGTTGAGTACTAGTTGTGCTCGCAACTAAAGATAGCTATAAATTGCTAGTCATTTTGCTCTTGGATGGAAAAAGGTCACTTTTTTTAAATGCCTCTCTAAATACTAATAGCTACCTTAATTTTTGAAAGCCTGTAGGAGCTACATTTGGTTTAGTATATGTTGGTTTACTACTAACAGAAATAATTGCAAGACTTAACCTTCCAGAGCATACTAAGAGCCACCCCACAGGAGCTGAAGAGGCGAATGTGTAGTTGTGTAAACAGGATTAGTAAAACTGGTTGCTGGTTTTACTTAGCTTTTTGTTTGAAGCAGCTGTTAGAACCGGCTGCTCAAGCTACTCCCTGCTTATATTCTAGAAAACAGCTAGTGGATGGTGGGGGTGGGAGAGGTGTTACGTGCAGCAGCTGTTCAGCTGTGCCCGTAGTTTAGCGTTCTCCTGAGTTAAGGGATGCTGTGTTGACGCGTGCCAAAATACATTCGTGTGTAAGGAGTGGAGAATAGGTTTTAAAAAAAACTTATTGCGGTGCTGCTTCATCAGCGAGGACAAATACAACCCCCTGGCACTGTACGGAGTTACTTCTTGAGACTTTGTTTGTACATTAAAGTTGTTAGCAGAATGGGTGGGACAGGCTTTGTTGGGGTGGGACGCTGTCCAGCTGAAACAGATGGGAGCGCAATGGCCACTTAGTATCTTTCAAAATACTGTTATCTGGGTCAGGCTCTAGCTTCTGGGCAGGAGCATGAACTTGATATGCTTCTCACGCACGAAAATAAGGAGGCTGTCAAATACATTGTGATTTTTTTTTTTTTTTCATCATAGATTTTGCGTAGTTTTATTTTCACCAGTTGCAATATCTTGCTGTCTGGGTTGTCGAGAGGAGGATCCATACTTCATGCATTTTTCCATCATATCTTTCTATTCTTGTGATCATCAGGTAGTTATGACATTTCTTTTCCTTGTTGCAGCTTGTAGAGACCTCATTAAAAGGAGAAATAGTCTTTGACCCCAGAAGTGCTTACTACCTCTGGTTTGTAATGGATTTCTGTGATGGAGGAGACATGAATGAGTATCTGTTGTCCCGAAAGCCAAACCGCAAGACCAACACCAGTTTCATGCTTCAGCTCAGCAGCGCACTGGCGTTCCTGCACAAAAATCAGATTATTCATCGTGATCTCAAACCTGACAATATTCTGATATCTCAGAGCAGGATGGATGCTAGTGACTTGGAGCCTACCCTGAAAGTAGCTGATTTTGGGCTGAGTAAAGTATGTTCAGCCTCAGGACAGAATCCCGAGGAACCAGTCAACGTAAATAAGTGTTTTCTATCAACTGCATGTGGGACTGACTTCTATATGGCCCCCGAAGTCTGGGAAGGACACTACACTGCCAAAGCAGACATCTTTGCGTTGGGGATTATAATCTGGGCAATGTTGGAAAGAATCACGTTCATAGATACGGAAACAAAGAAAGAACTTCTGGGGAGTTACGTCAAGCAGGGAACAGCGATCGTGCCTGTTGGAGAGGCGCTTCTAGAAAACCCTAAAATGGAACTGCTCATCCCCGTAAAGAAAAAATCCATGAATGCTCGAATGAAACAGCTGATCAAGGAAATGCTGGCTGCCAACCCGCAGGACCGACCTGATGCTTTTGAGCTAGAACTGCGGTTAGTCAACATAGCTTTTAAAGACAGCAGCTGGGACACGTGACCTGCCGAGTCCTGTCTCTCGAGAGAGCTCCTTCTCACCTAACTGATGGTGCAGCTTAATGGCAGTAAAAGAAACGAGCCTGAACTCAAACCTGCAGGGTGTAGTTTCTACCAAACGAATCTCTTCTGAGTTTCATAAATGATACGGATGTTGAGTTGGCCGCTGTGTTAATGATGCGTTGATGTGTATAATACCAGGATGTTACATGCAAGTGTAAGATGTGACGGTGTTCGTTTGTGTACGCTGGCAGTGGGATGTCTTGAGAGCTGAGACTTGATTTCCAGCACTATGTCGCGGAGTATTTTGTACATTCCAGTTTCCTATGTCAGTATTAGGAACTCTCATGGAAGAAGAGATTTGCATGCTGGTAGTGCAAGTCTTCAGGCTTTGTAAAGTAATTCTGTGTATATGTTTATGTATACGAGTGACTGGGAGTGTATGCCACTTTTCTTAAATTATTTGCTGTGGGTCTGAATGATTGGGGTCTGCTAGAGAACTAGGTGAAGAAGATAGATGAGAAGCATTCCTTCTTCTCCAGGCCTGAATAACTTTATTATTTATTTTTGTTATCTGATGTCAAAGATAGGGTCCGAGATGTGACTTTGCAGACAGAAAAATGCAATGCAAGTGAATCAGCAGTTTTTAAAGTGCTGACATGGCCAAGCTTAGCACTTACAGCTTAATGAGCTCGTCACTGAGGGAGTCAAATTACAAAATGGAGGCAATCAGGTGCCAGCATGTTTGGCTAGTTCATTAATCATTCGATTTTGCTTTCTTCTAGTAATCAAATACTCTATTAATCAGTTAATCTACAGTTTCGCAATGTGCTCTCTACTCTTGTATCTATAATCCAGTAGCACCCTGGGTACTTCAAATAGGAGAGTACGTGAGCTCAGTTCATGGAAACGCGGATGAGGGAATCCAGCAGCGTAGAGGGTTATTTTTAAGATTCTTCAAAATATGGTTGCAGCACAGTTTTCCCGTTAATTGAATCTAATAATACTGGTCACGGTCTCTTCCTTTCTGGCACTGACTCTGACCTGGTAGTGATGAGGAGATAAAGGGCTGACTGTTTGTTTGTCTTGTAGAACACACCTATTCTCAAATACGGGAGAAAACCCAGTAACCGGTGTGTGAAAGGGATCTCCGATTTGTGTGGCAACCTTGGCCGATTTTTTTTATTTCTTTTCTTCCTTTTAAAGAAGTAATATTTAAAACCATGGACAGTAGGATGGAAAGCCTTGAAGTAGTTGAAAGGCTGCTTATCCCCAGCTCTTAGTCCACAGAAGCAGATTGATACGCTAAGAGAGGTTTCACGAAGGCCACCTGACGCCGTACGGCAGTCAGAAGCTGCTTTGTAATAGCATAACACTTTGTTCTTTTGGGTGCAGGACCGTGACCAAATTCTCATCAATTTGACCTTTTGGAAAAAGTAGAGTCTTAAAAAAAAAAAAAAATTGCCTTTAAAGGCAGGTATATTAAAGCTGCAACAAAGGCCGGTTTTCTTAATAAAATGAATTTAATGTTTTTTCCCAAATCTTCCCCGAGAACTGCCATACGTATTCCCTTGTGTAACTTGCTTCTCGGATGCTACTGCCTCTTAGTGCTGTGAGAGCAGTTCTGATCAGTCAGTCTGATCATGCCCGAGTGTGAATAAACAGCACAAACTAAATACAATATTTTTTTTTTGTTCTTCTAAAAGCAAAGGATTCTGATTCTACCAAACTCCTGAGGCTTTACGAACTACAGCTGGTTCTTACCTGGTGCTGTGTAGAGCTGGTGGCAGTTACCCAGTGGGCCTTAGTCTTTAATTCTTGTTATTTTGCTTCACTTTATCGTTTCAGGCAAGTTGTCTAAACAGGGATTCTCAGGCAAGTACATTTTGCTGTCTCAAAACAATGTTTATTGTTCAGAAGATGCTATAGAAGTAACTTTTGAGTACGGCAGAGCGCCTTCGCTTCAGTGTAGACTGGCAGGGACGGAGGCGACTGCATCGCACCGAGGACACAGCCTGTTGCCTGCGTAGATGTCCCAGTGTCACTCCTTCCCTGCAGAGAGCTTAGTCTGTAAAAGAAGAGTGGGAGCCTATCTGTGAGTAACGATAAGGAGAAATCTATTTATTCTTATGTTCTAGAAGCAGAGATCCGGGTGTTTTTCTCATATCTTAACTGAGTTCAGTACAACTGAAGCCTCAGCTTCTTACTGAAAGGAAGAAGAAAAACCTCTCGCTGTCTGTGCCAACGCTGCTTCACAGTACTTACATTTCGGCGTGGTCATTCGATGAGTAAAGTTTTAAGAGGTTATATAATTTTTCCGTGTTAAAATTGAGAGCTTTTTAAAAATACATCGTTAACTTCCTCTTCTCTCCTGCCCCCCCAAAAGTCAGAATCAACTATGTTATCTTAAAGTGTGAATCTACTACAGAATAATACTACTTACCTTTAAGGCGCTTTGCAAATCACCTGATTCTTCTCTGAAGTATTTCGAAGGATGAACACCAAGTGTGCTGCCTGCCTGCCGTGCAGAAACGAGTGCTAGTGAATGGCACGGGAAAGGTGTTTGTTTTTTGGGGGGGGGGCGTGGTGGTGGTGGTTTTTTTGACTCCCAAAGTGTCTCTTTGCACTGATTGCCACTTTAAAGGGTGGGGGTACCCGAAATCCCTCTCATGGTGCTTAGCCTTGCTGTTGGGTGACACTGAGTGTTTCCTTGGTTAACACTGAATGGTAGTCCTTGAGCTCTGTGTTCCGTTTGATTTTTGTTGTTGTTGTCTGAGGTCTTTGTTTTAAAGCCTTTGATAAATCAAATTGTTGTAGCAGCTACAGAGTTATTCACCAGCATGACACAAAGTCAAGATACTTTTCAGCACTCAAAGATTTTTTTTTTTTCAAATCTTTCTTTAAAAACTGTAAAATATATTTTATGGAGAATTTATAATGAGGAAAATTATTGTGTAATTTATTAAGTTCATGACTGTTTTTGAAATAAAATCTGAATTTCGATGAAGCTTTTGAACTTTCTACAGAGAAATGCTGTCTCCTCAGTGAGCACGATGTCATCTAGCTGTCAGCAAAGCTACAGAAGGGTTTATTTGCTGTGCTAGGACAGAAGTAAGCTGTAGTACTTCATCACAGCCATACCGTAAGTGATTCGAAGCTTGTAAAAGCTGCTAGATTGGCTAATAGCTGTGCTGCCCGTCCTCTGTGGGTCGCGGCAGTGCCAAACTTCCAGTGATGTGTAACGCGCTGCTGGAGGACTTGGCAGAGCGAGGCCAAACTGGGTGTGAAAACAGAGCTGTCTCTGGGACCGCCTGAGGTGAGCCATGTCCCTGCGGACCCTGCGGCTTCTGCCCAGCCCTGTAAGAATCAAAACAGTGCTCTTCTGGGTGTGCTTCGTTTTCAAAGAGGGGATTAAAGACTAAAAAAAGCATTCTTGCATCCAGTACATACTTGTAGTTGTTATTACAAGCAAAGCGAGTACCACCCTGGGCTGTAAGGAAATCTCTGGCAGGATCTGCCTACCCCGCTGCTGGTACTACTGGATTTTTTGAGGCTGCAAATAGATGCTGCCGCTCTCCTGGACACCGACGTTCCTCCTGCTGAAGCGAGCCTTTCCCCCTCTAGTTCCTGCCTATGCTGGAGTAGGATTTCACCCAGAAAGCCGCCAGCCCTCGTTCTGTGGGTGAACCCCGTTTTTTTTTTTTCCCCCCTGAGCGCACCACGAGCCCCTGTGCAGAGGGCTGAAGGCAGCCCGGTGAGGGTGCGCTCTGCTGTGTTTTCCTCCCGCGTACGTGGGCCGAGCGGGCTGCTGGCTTCCTCTGGAGCTGGTGGAGGGAGCAGGCGCCTGCAGGCCCTCGGGGCAGCTCCTGGGGCTGAACCAGGTGTAAATGGTCTTCTGGAGGTTTGTGAGGGATGGTGGCCTGCTGGTCTCACGTGCCCTGAGAAACCTTAGAAATAAAGGTGGGGAAACACCTTTGCTTATACGTGGTACAAGAGTCTAGGAGCCATTTGCATGTCTTAATTAACAGTGCTCTGGAACAAAGGGTTGCGCAGACTGGGAGTGGGAATAACTGGAAATGCTGTAAACTGTTTTGTCTTGCCATTTGTTACCCCCGCAACAAAACCAAGCCCAGTCATCTCCTGTGGGCCGTGCGCTTGCATCGTCGCCTGTGGTTTCCTGCGTATCCTGGTGCCAGAAATAGGCAGATTCCCCACCTGGCAGGAGCTGTGTGGTTGAGCCCTTCAGTCAATGCCATCGTTGCAAAAGAGAAAGGGATTGAAATTTAGGTGTGTTTTTTTTTTTTTATTAAAGGCTAAGCACCTTAATTAAAAGAGAAAGTCACACCTCTTTGATTAGTTGTACGAGTGGTGATTTTAAATACAGACGCAAGCTAAATTCCTCCCCCACAAAACGAAGAAAACTAAGCCTACATACTGGAAATATATCTAGTCCATGGAGGGGGGGGCGGAATCTGCAAGGAAATTCCCTGGTGCAGAAATTAGCTGTAACTAAGGCTGCATCTCAACTCGAATAACCCAACCTCTGCTTTATTTTCCTTGTTCTGCAGAATGCTGAGGCCTCGGGCTCCAGCTTGCCCATCCTGTTTCCTCGGGCAGGGCTTGGCTGGGCGATCCCCGCTCCGCAGCGCCGGGTTTGAGAACTCGCCTTGTTTGTATTTTCGCTTTGTGTTGGTTTAAACGGAGTTTACCTTTGCGCCAGCCAATCGCGGCCCCTGCGCAAACTGCAGCGTAATGGCAGATGTTGCTTTGCGGTCGAGATAAAGCCCTGTCTCGGGGAGCCTGCAGCCGCCTGCCCGCCCCTTGGAAGGGTGCCTTCGCTTCAGAGAAACAACCCTCCCCCCCCCCTCCCCCCCCCCCCTGCGCCGTGGCTGGCTGAGCAGACGTGCTCGCTTGGCCTTTGGACCGTGGGCAGCACGAACGTCCAAGTTTTTGCGTTGCCTTTGCCTTTGCTCCGCCGATGTCCCGCGAATCCTTCTATGGGGTATCCTATCGCTAAGTGTTTTTAATATTTACTGCTGGTCTGCGTGTGAACACAAGGAGCTGTCCCACGGAGAACTAGTTAGGAGTATTTAAACACGAGCTCTGTTTAATGGGCACTGCTGAGCGCTGGCTGTTTCATTTCCCTTTCGGTCTGAGGGGCTGGGGAGCAGTTCATGCAAAGTGCAATTTCTGTTCTTAAGTGCAATGAAGAG